ACAGTACAGATAGATACATGGGTACGTTAGTTTTAGTTAAGCTCTACGAGGAAAATGAGTCACAGGAATTTCTGGAAATAAATGCAAACAAAAAAGATTCTCTCCCAATATAATTTTAGGTATTCTTGTTGAGATAATCTCAAAATAACTAGAAAGCTTGGAAAGAATATGTTTACTCAGTTTGTTTACAAACTTGCCAAGAGATGCTTTTTAATTTGCATAACTGCTCTTATGATTAGTTTAAGATGGTAAAATTAGGGGGTTTTTTATGTTTGTGTGATTCACTAATATCACTGTAGAATAAGAAAAGCCCAGTCTGACTCCTGAGCTGTGTGCAGCCTCCAAGCATTTTGGATGTTTTACCTGCCAGACTTGGGCACCACTCCTGGCAGCAGAGCTGTGTTAGCACAAGGCTGCCAGGTAATGAAATCCCTTAGCAGGCAGTGCTCTGGGAACAGCAGGGACTGTTGGTATGTCAGAGGTGAATTTCTTCTGATGTTGCTATTCCTTGGATTTTGAGACAGACATGCCTTTTTTTACATACCAAACTTGCCAAAGACTTGTCACTCTTCTATATGTAGCCTTTTCTCTAGTACTTAATCCTAATAGCCCACTTTATGTGGATCTGTATCAGGGTGTCGTAATGATGGCTAGCAAAAGGAGAAAAATAAATTCACAAGGATCCTTCTCATTATTTGCTGTTCTTAAACTGTTGAACTTGGAAAACACTCCATGCTTATGCTGATGTACTTCTTTGCAAGACCACAGCGGTAACAATGTCCTATAATAAAAGCTCTGATGATACAGAAGTTGTTGAAATAGCAATGAAATAACAAACCTGTCTGTTATTTCATCTGTGCCAGCCTGTTGTCTCCATGCCGTGTGTTCTGTGTCATTAGGAGCTGTTGGGACAGAAGACGTGTCTTTCCAGTCACAGAGGTCTAACGTTGTTCTCAGAGCCACCATGTCTCCACTGGTTAAACCCTCCCTAATGCCTCTGAAGACGTCTCCTGGGTCTGACATTGGTTCACCCTTCACCTCACCTGCTTTAAATTGCAAGAAGGGAGTTGTGGATGTAAACTCCTCTTGGCATGGACCGCTCCAAAGTCCCCTTGTTATGAGAAGGGGACCAAAGCTGTGGACGTCGGTTTCAGGTAGAGATTTTTCCACAGCACTGTCTTGTAACCATAAGTGTAGTAGCCATGTCGATGGAGAGCTGTATTGTGAGGACTAAAGTGACAGCAACCAGTTTTTCTGAAGATACTGTATTTTTTTTCTTGTAGATCATCAAATGAATGGTTCCCACCATGAGTCCTTCCCAGTGCTCTCTGCTGCAAAAGCTGGTAGCGAGGCAGTACAGCCCAAATTTATTTACACATGGCTTCAGAACAAGCAAGAACAGGTAGAGTAAAACTGCAGTATATACAGGGTGCATCTTGGGTATTCTTTGGAAGAATTTCCCATTTTATGGAATGAATACTTCCTTCTCTGCTTAGCTTACATAACACAGATCCTTCCCTCCCCCTCAATGCCTCTATACTGTGTGAAGCTGGTAGGGTTGAAGAGGGCCAACTGTGCATACCTTACATAAATACAGATCATAAGTTTAATCTTTTGTTTCTTTTCAGATAAAAAACTTCTTGTCCAGACGGGCACTGATAATGTATTTCTTCAGCAAGGTAAGGGTGATCCTGTGTTTGAGACTGAGCAGCAAGGACTGGAAATGCAGGAGCACATGGGCTCTGCTGTAGCCTTTTGTACCTTGTCATAGAGTAAGGCTTCTAAAACCTGTATTTTTATCTAAGGTTTTCTATAAGTACAATTTTGTACTTACTGTGAGTTTCATAGCAGGATTATCCCATACCTGTCTGTTCTGAGGGGAGGGACAGGACCCTATGGAATGTGTAATACCTTAGTGAAACCTGCAGGTTTTGTGTTATTTTTTATAAAGTGCACTCACAACATTTTGGTTTCTTCTCAGCACCCAGAAGCCTCCATCCAGGCTGTCTTCTCTGATGCCCAAATGCATATCTGGGCTTTGGAAGGTAAGCAGTTTCCAGGTGATCCACTCTGTTGATTCATGGAAAACTTTTCTGGGCCTCTGTGCTTTATAAATATAACGGAACAAAAGTCTTTGAAACGCTTTTGACAAAATCCCAACTGCATTTCAGACACCAGACACCATTAGGCTAAAGTCTAATTCACTTGTTAGTTTTGAGATCCCATCTGAGATCTCTTACTTTATGTTCTGTAGAGATCCCTAAACTTATTTCTTTTGCTTCTCGATGATGTGAAGCCATGTATCATGTTTACATTTTCCCACCAATAGATTTATGACTTCTTTTTACAGCAGCTTTTCTGACTAAAGACTCTGAGTGTTTCTCTGTTAATCAGGGAATTGAGGGAGGCACTCAGGTCATAACTTAGCAAATAAATAGAAAAAGATGATCTGCAGAGAATCAGAACAATGACAGTATGTGGTTGTACTTTGGGATTTCCCTGTGGAAAAAGGGAGCCAATGTGTTTTTAAAAATTTATTTAATATATAATCTCTCTTGCTTTATCAACCTCAAGCTATAATACACTTGTAAAACCAGTGAGTGATTTAGTCCTTGAGCCAAAGCTGAGGTAACTGTCAGCTGGCTGCAGTAAGTCCTGAAGAGCTCTACCACACTAGTAGATTCTTCAGGCAATGCCATGATCTTTGTTACTGAATTCTCAACTTTTGAAGCATTAATTAGAGCAAAATTCTTTTGGGTTTTTTTTTTTTTTCAAAGGTCTGTCTCACTTGGTAGCAGCCTCCTTTACTGAAGACCAGTTTGGAGTTGTCCAAACTACACTGCCAGCTATCCTGAATACTCTACTGACTCTTCAGGAGGTAAAACTGTTAACTTTTCCTTACTGCAGGACAAGTTTAGGAGGAGTCTTGTTAATTTTACATTACGACCTTGCTGACTAGTCATAACATTCAAATTGTTGCCACTGAAACAGCTCTTTTGCAGTTAATCTGAACAAAACAGCTGGTTGTCACTGTGTGCACTATGAAACAGCTGAATAAAAACCCTGTTTGTTTTTTAAAATGTAGAAGGAGAAAGCATGGAATGTTTCAAAATAAAAAATGGTACTGTGTGCTTATTTCAGGGATGCAGCAATTATACTACTATATTTTATGCAGAGTTAGGACTGTATTTGGCTGTACACAATTCCTCGTGCAACACGGAGCACTTGGAGACATTGCAAATCACAGGAGATAAGATCTGTATGATGTTCTCTTTCAAAATACTAAGACATTACCCTCAAGTCACTGATGTTTATTCAATGTGTATTTTAAAAAAATCCAGATTTATTTCCAAGGCTGTGCATGTCCTATTGACATAATCATTTTACACTGCCCTAATGGACATTCTTGGAAAGAATTTGAAGGTTATTAAAGTTTTTCAGTGCAAGTCATTTATTCCAAGAACAGGCACAAGGGGGGGAAAAAAAAGCCAATACCTTTGTTTCTAAAAGAAAGAAGTCATAATATAGGACAGAGTTGTGTTTCTACTGCAGCATGTGCTGTGCTTGGCAGTTAAGACTAGTAACAGAATCTTGGTTCTGTGTTCCTGTTGATGGCTGGGAAATGATCAATCTCCAAAACGTTCTTGTGTGTCTTGGTGGAATTTCCGAATGTGCACTTTTTTTGCTTTGTTTGACACAAACGTGTCAAATGGTTACATTATGAAATAATTGAATAGATGACCTGATTTCTTTTATGTTTTTCTCAATCAGGTTGTAGACAGACATTTCAAACTGCCACATGTTTCTAGCAAGCCCTCCCGGGTCTCAGGGAGTCTGGTGGACACATCCTACAAAACACTACGGTTTGCACTTAGAGCATCTCTGAAGACAGCACTGTACCGGATAACTACTGTCTTTGGAGAACACTTAAAGTAAGAAATTCCTCGTGATTGCTTGCTTGTTAAATTTAGTTTAAATACTGTTATTGCAGAACCTGTGAGAAAAGAAGTTCGGGGGGGAAAAAATCTCTTCAGGTCATTATTCTAACACGGTATTTTAGTACTTTTTTGATTTGTGGAACCTTAAAAAGTTCTTGTGTAGATATATGGTCCCACTTAGAAATTTATTATTCATAGATTTCTGGGTAATTTTTCTTAGTGACTTTTCATGAACTCTTTCGAAGTAGTTCGTGAATACCACTCATTTAATAAATCTGAGCTGCTGAAAAGAAAATAAATCAGGTAGAGACAATTGTTCTGTAGGGAGAGAATCCTATGAAGGGTCCAAATAATGGAATTCTGTTGCTGCCTGGTCACCCAAAGGCTCTTTCTCAGCTACTGTCACAGCAGGCAGACTTTCATACTTGGCCTCTGAATATGTGGGACTGAAACTTCCTGCAGCATCTGCCCATCTCTCCCTGTGGGCATGAAATGTCCCTCAGTTTGGAAGTGCTCGATATACAGGAGAGATCATGTTAAGAGATTCTCACCTAAGTCATCCTTACAAGTTAATCAGTTGCTCTGTGTATTTAAAGGTAAGTAAATGGACGAGGTTTCCTGGGACAAGTGTCTTAGTAGTAGGATGAGAATCGACAGTTTTAAGGGTTTCTTTGTCTTGGAACACAGGATTTTCATACAGCTGGGTTTTCTAAAATTTAGCTTCAGTGTAATTGATTTCAATGTATACTCAATTTTGGCATGAGACTTTATTTTTGTGGTGTATTACACTTAATGTAAAATGTTCTGCTTTTGTTTTTAGTGCAGTGCAAGTGTCTACAGAACATAAGAAAAGACTTCAGCAATTCTTGGAATACAAAGAATAAATAACAGATTTTGATGCAGCTACGGTTGGATTTTTTCAAGACTCTTGCTAAGAAGAAAGTGAGACTAATGAGTCTTTTTATTTTGGCTTTTTGGAAAAGCATATGGAAGTACAAGTCGCAGAACAAAACTTTTAGAACTGTAGAAGAGCTCTTAGGGGTTTGGATCATCTTTTGTATAATAAAACTTGTAAAATTCATCTTGCCTTCTTTTAATGTCACAAATGAGAAAGTGCCAGTTCTTCTTTTAGGTAAGGCTATGACATTTGAGATTACCAGAGTTACTTTGACACTCAGATCCTTCATTATTTTTCACACTATGTTCTTTCCCTACCCTTTTCTGTTAAAGGGCTGAGCAGAGATTTACATAGATACTTAGTGTGCTTAAGTGCTTCATAAATTTAGTTGATAACACTTTTAGTGCAGATCAAGTGTGTAGTTTAAGAGTAGGAAACAGATGTGCCCAGGAATAAAACATGCTGCTCTTCTGTAAGCTGGAAATACCCCTTCAGAGTAGAACAGTGTGCAGAAAGGCATTCTTAACACACAAATACTGCTTGAAAACTTGAAGATTTTATCTTTAAGGTGACCTAGGAAACTAAGTTCTGATCTATGCTGAAACGTACAGGAAGCATTACTGCATTTAGTAAAACTCCCAAGCAACGATACTGTGAATTAAAGTTTAGGTCAACAGCTTTCTGTTCAGGGGGGTAGGAAGGATGTTAGCAGCATATCCAAATTTTTTAAAATAGCATATATTACTGGTAGATTCTGGTGAAAAATATTCCTTTTTTAAAGCATTTTTAAAAGTTTTTTATCTGAAAACCTGTCCCAAATAATTTGAAAATTAACTACTTGGTTTTTAAACAGACTCCAGTTCCTGTTATAGCTACACTAGAAAATGTGTATGTGGAGTATGAAGGTGAGAACAGTAAGCTAAATGGTCTTGCAAATGAATTTAGTGTGATAAGGGGAAACAATATTATAATTTTCTTTCCATTCTCTTTGGTGCTGTTAGTCTTATGGGTTTTGTTGTGGTGGTGTTTTTTTTATAGAGGACCCAAGATCTGAAGATGGCCCTGGTGTCAGTTATGATGATGTGATAAAATGATCAGCTCATAGTGAGTGGCTGTGTAGTAATAACCCTTTAGGGTAAAAGAGAGAACCTCAAATCTCCAATGAGACCTGCATAGTGCTTTCTTCAGCAGAGACAGGTAATTTTCTTGTAATGCAGACACTGCAGGTGTTAGGTTTGATAGTGGAAATGAGAACTGTATTGTTCTTTTTGCATTGAGATGGCTCACAACAAACACACAAGGTGATGGACAGCCTTCCACTATCTTTAAAGATTAAGCACAAAGTCTCTTAAAGCTTTGCCAAGCTCAACTTCTGTCACAGGTTTGATTATTATTTCAAAGCCTTTTGCCTGCCTGACTTAATAAATAATTTAATTTGCTTATTTTCTGGCATTACAATGTGCACCTGGAGTTAAATGGTGCTTTAGCTGATACCTCAGGTGTAACTGTTGACTCAAATACTGCAGCTGAAAGTTTCCACGAAATTTTATCACACTTTTAAACAGGTTCAGTATTATTGCTGTGGTATCTTCTGCAACACCCTCACAACTATAAGCTGCAAGGTGTAATTAACAGTGTTGAGAGTTGTCAGCAGCAGGCTTAAAATGGAGATGACTTTTTGGATGCCAAAGTGGTTGAGGTCTGTCCTCCTGGTGTTGCAACAGAGATTTGCACATGACATCTGCTAATGTGTGTGTGATTCGTGGCATTCTCTGAATGGCAGAAGAGCTTTCAAAAGCTGATTGCTTTGTGGTTTCTTTAAAAGCTCCAATTCTTAAAGAGCTGAAGACTTTTTTTTTAAGCCTTTACTTAAAAGTGCATCTTTCAATTCATCAGCATGAGCTACTGTTAAGTGTATGGGAATATAAAATGTATGTTAGGTGGTGCCCTCTGAAGATGCAGTAACTGGCTCACACAACACAAACAGGGATAACATTCTAATTTTGGTTTTGGGAATAATCATAATCCCCTGGCAAACTGCTGGTGTTTCAAATCCTTTTGTATACTTTTGTCTTAATATGAAAAGAATCAGCCTGTGAAGCCTCTGTGAGGTAAGGGAAGAGTCTCTTGAGTTCAGTTCTGCATTCCGGGTAATGAGGAAAAAAATACAGCCTTTTTACTGCTGGTTTCTATGGAACTGCAGTTAAACTGAATCCCTCAAGCCTGATAATGTTTCTCATCTGTTTAATCATCTCAAAGCTGAACTGCACCTTGTTGCTGGATTGCCTGCTGCATGCACAAGTGAAACAGCATTCTGGCAACCTTGTGAACAACCTGCCTCTCCCACAGGTCAGCTGCATTCAAGAGTACCTGAAATTATTTCCACTGCAGCTGTGGAAAGCTACAAGGTTGATGGTTCAGACCTGTGTTCCTGCTACAATGGAGTAATGAAATAGAGGCTTTAGCTCTTAAGCAACCTGTTATGTCTGAAAAAAACCCCCATATATCCTGCTTAGTTTTCTGAGATAGAGCTTTGGAATTCAGCCTGTGGGTGGACAAATGCAGTGGCCCTGATCCTTGGAGCTGTTGCACGCTGCTGTATCCACAGGAGCCAGGCCAGACTTGCTCCCTCAATAGGAGCATTCTGCCACTTTGGAGAGCTGTCCCTGTGCCAGTGGTGGCTCCAGGCCTGAATGCCCCCTTGAAATGAAGTGGTTTCGATTCTGTTGCTTATGCTGTGAACAGAGGCTGCATTGTGTGTGCTGTGCTCAGTGTCCTCAGGCCTGGAGCAGCCACCTTCCCACCTGCCACAGACCTACGGCTCTGAGGGCATCCAGCTGCAGCCGTGGAAGTACCAGCCTCTTGCTGATGAATTTTCTGGTACCTGTTCAGTCACAGGCAAGTGGTGCAACCTGTGGGCTGTGTGCATGCCAGATCTCCCCCACCTCCTGCCAGTGGCCACCTCTGGGATGGAGCTCTGCCTGGGGGAGTGCCTGATGCTCTGAGGGGTTGGGTGTACGTGACTGCATATGAGGTGGCTCCAGGAGCACCCTTGGCTGTGGAGGAGCTTCTTGCCATGTGCAGTGTTGTCCCCTTTCCCCAGGGGATGAATGGTGGCAGCTTGCAGTGCTTTCCCTGTACAAACAGGTGTATTGCAGCTGCAGGGCTTCACCTGCCCATGGCAGCCATGCTCCCACTTCTCCCATCACCACCTACAAAGATGCAATAAAAAACATAAAGGTCTGTGTGGAATCATCATGGACACTGCAAACTGAGGACCCTCCTCAATACCCACATACCTTTCCCCTTTGGTCTTTGATATTTTCCATCACCAGTATGGTGTTCATGTATTTGCTGTGTGGATCAAATGCATTTGGGTGCTGTAGACAGAGCTGGAATGTGGTTTGCCAGGCTCTGGTGTTGTAAGCGGATGTTCTTGCATTAGAATGTTGCTTTCTCTTGCTGCAGACTGGTGGAGATTTGCATTGGGCAGACTGGCTTTGGACAAACCTGTTGTATAAACAAATGGTGCAGGTCCCTCGTGCCTGAGAAACAACCTGAGAAAGAACAACACCTGCATCATGCTCTGATTTCAGAAAACCAAAAGTAATCTAGAGAAGACCTCACCTTCCTGTCCTTGCAAAAATCTCGGGACTACAATAGAACTAGTCATGCAGGAGACAGATGAACATAGTATTTCTGGAGCCTGCCATGAGAACAAAACACAAATTCAAGTAGGAATAGTTCCCTGGGTGGCCTGCTGGATACTCTAGCTGATTCTTTGAATAAGTGGTGGTGGTGGTACAGGAGTTCCCTCTTTTTTTCTTTTTCTATTTTTTATCCTCCTAAAGAGTCAGTTCCTACAGTCAGAATTTCAGAGAAAACTATGGCCTAAGCACATGTATGTACTCATGGAATCATCAAAGAACCAGTGCTGAGTGCACTGTAGGTTCCTCTCCCACTCCTGCCCAAAATGCACAAAAAATTCCAGGCTTTGCCTTTCACTTCTTGAATAACTCAACTTTTAAATCTGACTACTAAAACACAGGGCTGGGGTGGGCTGTTGTATTCAACTGCATCTTGTCTGAAAAGGTATGACGAGCCCTGGAGGGAATTTTAAAGGTTTGGGGAGTGGGATTGTATAGCTCTCTGTGAATCAAAGATTGTTGGAGTTATGTGTAAGCATCATTCTCCTCTCAGCACAGCAAGTTCCAGTTGTAGGCTTACTAATGTTAGAAGTTTCAGCTCAAGAGACAGGCTGGGTGCTTGTCTCCAGGGCAAGCTTTGAGGACCAGGGAGATGGGGCAGCAGCTTTGCAAACCACTGGGTTCCCTGTCTATTCACGGGCAGAGGTCACTGCTCAGAGCAGGTCTGGGGAAGCACTGGGCTGTGAACCTTGTCAGTGGTGGTACAAAGTTTTGGGTTAAGCACAGGGCTGCAGCTCAAAGCTGGGTAGTGAGGGGCTGTCTTTACAGATGTTGGCAGTCAGTTCTGAGAAGGCTTTGTCAGCAACCATAGAGTGTTGTAGGAAGAGGAAGTCCACTCTTGTGGTTAGTGCAAGCTGAACAATTGGTTTGTCCTTTCTGTGCCTTGCACAGGGATCCTGTGCTGCACTTGAGCTCTTCACAGGTGGTTACTTTACAAGTCTCCCAGATTTCACATGCTCTGTTTGGAACACCGAGGGTTGAGTTTGATGGAACCAGAAATGTGTTTTACCACAGACAAGGATGGGAAATGCTAAAGGGAGTGAGGGGTAAGGGAAGCAGTTAGTCTTTGTCACAAGTTTAGCCCTCAAACTGAAGATTTTGGCTTCTGGGCCTCTGTTGTAAAATGAAGCTTAGCCTAACCCCACCCTCTCTCACCTCCAGTGATGATAACAAAACATTTGTGTCCAAAATCAGTAGGCTGCTGCAGTGATGGACACTAAAGAAATGCCCTGGAGTAAATGAACTGTATTCTGCGCAGGGCTTGGCTGATGTGCAGTAAATACATTCCATGTGTGGCCCAGACACTCTGCCAATGAAGAGAAAACAGAAAGAAGAGTGGCTAGCTGCTCATTCAGCAATTGCTGTCTCCAGTGCATTGAATATATGGAGCCCCAGGCAAAATAACTGGGGGCCATGTTATAGCACCAGTTCTGTAACTCATTTAGAGTAGGCATGAGATGAGTTTGTACCAGCAATTCTAGTCCTGGCATGTCCCAGTGCCAAGGATTAGATTTTACAAACTGAATATGCCTCAGTTGTGCTGGTTTTGGGGGGGGGGTGTTGTTTGTTTGCTTTTTTATGACTGAAGTTTACTTTACTACCTGTGTTGTGTAAACATGGTGTGAGAAGGGATTTATTTATAGATCGATGCAGAGAAATAGTAGAGATGAATGTCTGAGAAAGGTAACTGCAGGTGTAACAACCACATCCTGAATGGAGGCTGGTTGGACCCTTTTCTAGACGTATTTTTCCTCAAGGTTGACTAGAATGATCTGTCAGTTAACTGGGGAGGCAGGAGGGATCTGTAGTGTTACAGTGGCTTTGGGAGATACTGGTAATTTCTTGCAGTCTCTGCAAGACAAAGGGGGATTCAAGATAACTGTATGGTTTTCCCAAAATATACTATTGAAAAGAGGCTTGTTTATAAAAGATAAGTCAAAGTGATCTGAGGAATTTCTTTTTTCTAACTATAAGAGCCATAAACAAATCTGTAAGTTATGAGGCAATAGTTGAGTATGTTGCTAGATAATGTGTGGTCAGTTTGACCCTGCTGCCTCAATTTAGGAGGTCATTTTCAAACCACTATAAAGAAGGGCTTTGTGCTGCCTTAAAGGGATATAGGCAATATCTAAGAAACGGGCATACTCACAGACACAATCCCTTTGGCTCAGTTTTTGTTTGGTTGCTTCTCTTTTACAATCTGTAGTGCAGTAAATTAAAACAAAAACAAGTCTGGACTTGGCATGCCTTTGTAAAAAAATGTTTTGTATGAATTGACAGCTAGTGTGTGACTAGGCTATTTATAAGAAAGTTTGTTATTCTCCTACCAGAGAACCTGTTTTGCCCTATATTAAGAGAATACTTACGGTAACACCTCCCACCTCTGTCTGCACTGCAGCAGTTACACAAAATTCTTACGATTTCAATTGTGTCCCTTTAAAATTTCATTTTGTTGCCTGCTGGAGTAAAAGATTTCAATATATGAATTAGAGATTAACACTTCTGCTTGTTTGCTCTGCACAGCTCACCTTACCTGTATCTGTTCTGCTTCATTCCTCTCCTCCCACAGAACTGCTGGGGGAACTGGAGGTTTCAGCTGCTCCAAGTTTCTCGAAGATCCGGTTTGTGACGACACACAGCACAGCGGCCAGTTACAGCCATGGGTTCCTGGCAAAGGTAAAGAGCACACTGGGAAGGCTGGATTTGGTGAACTGGAGTTCCCTTCATGCAATGTCCTTTCCCCCCTCCTGTGTGTTCAGCTCTCCAGGCGGGACAGCTGTGCCTCTGCCTGTGCAGCTGTGAACACAGAGCCAAGAGGCTGCGTGTCTGCCAAAGCACCTGTAGACCCTGTGAACACTGGTGTGGCACCGACCTGATCGTGGCTGGTGTCATCAGGGAAAAACTGATGCATCAAACTTTTTTAAACTTGTTCTCCTTACCGGTACAATTTCACCCCAGCCTGAGCTCACCTTACTCTACTACCCGTTTTCTCTTTCTTTGGTCACCAACTAGGGGTGAATGGGCAGATGGGCAAGTCTCTGGTTACTTATCAAGTGGGTGTCCTACCCTCGTGACCTAGTCAGAGGATATTCAGGCAAGCAGTTGCATTCCTCTGGATGTTCTTTATACCAAATTGCAACCTCACTTTTCATAATTGATTTGAAATGAAGCAAGCCCCAGGGACTAGCTTCAGGGACTGAAGATGGCCTGTCTGCCTCAGCTGGAAGGTCTGCTTTGGTGATGGTGACTTCACTAACAAAGGAAGGAGAAAACTGAGCTAACTGTGGGCCATGTTATGACCCATGATCACAGCCCTTGACAACCAAGAATGTTGAATAAGAAGGCTAATATGGGGAAATCTTTCCCTCATTCTCCTAAAGGGAGAGTATTGCTCTCCAGTGACTGGTTTTCACAAGGACACAAAGAGTGGAGACACCCATCTATTTATTTCATGGATGTAGTGACAACATTGGGTGAATCAGTGTTTGCTGTACAGCTCGTGCATTCAGCAAAGTCATGGTGACCCAGGGCATAAAACAGTCTTAGCAGCCACGATTGCACTTGCTTGGCCTTTGTTCCAGAACCAAAACATATGAAGTGTCTTCTGATTCAGCAGAGAAAGAAAGGGGACTGCTTAATTCTCCCATTGGTACAGTTATTCAAGAAGCACTTGCTTCTCCCAGCACTTGTTCCTTTCACCTCTGTGGATTTGCCAGAGGAGCCAAGTCACTGCTTTGGAACAGCTGTAGGAGTCAAGTCTCTATCAGACACATCCAGGTCTGGAGGAGAATCTCCATCCACGACCAGTTTCTCTTGCTCAAACCCAGGGATGGGCATCCCCAGCTGCACAGTCCCAGCAAAGACAGGGCAGCTGCCAAATGCCTCGCTTGAACCTGAGGAAATGGTGGTGAGAATCCGTGGGGCTTCATTTCCTATGGGAGCAATGTAGGTACCTGCAGCCTGAGCCATGAGGTCTCCAACTCTGGGAGATGACCTGCCACGGGGAAATTCATCTCGCTGTGAAGGGGCTTCACCCTATATGCTGTTGGAGATTGGAGCTCTGATGTGCTTCAGTCCAAAGCCTTCCTGGCTTTTAGAGGGTGCCCAGAGCACCGAGGAGGCTCCGTGCCCGTTCCTGCCCGCGGAGCAGCCCAGCCCTGGGCGATTGCTGAGCCAGTGGCGGCACCTGCCGGTATTTTGCGGAATATTCTGGATATTGGTAATGGTGAAAAAAAGAAATAAGCAGTGGTTCAGACGGCCTCAGGTAGAAAATGCAGAGTGATGTGGGTTAACGAGCTGTCCTTTTTCCTGCCTGCTGTGGGAAGCCCCCTAACCACAAAAGAAAATCCCTCTAGGAAGGTACCCAATATGTTCAAAACTACCCGTTTTCTAGGAAAACCCCTCCAGTTCAGGTATTTGGGCAGTGTGTATCAATATAGTTGTAATAATTTGAACAAGATGAGCCCGTGTTCAAAATCCATCTCAACACTATTTTCTTCCTGCACTGGAAGCAGCAGGATTACCTTGGTTACACTGTGTTCTGGAATAATATTTCCTTCAGTAAATTTTACTGCCTCTTCACGTCAACTGAAGTTTAGACTGTTGCCACAGCGTTTTTGTGTCTTAAATAATTACTGCTTCTGGTAGCACTGCCAGGTGCCTTTGGCATTTCCAAATTGAAGAGAAAGAACAGCTCGGTCCTGAGAGCCCCAGGGACAGATGGGACTGGGGAATAGGGGATGTAGGTTAGCAGAGCACTGAGAGGTGGCTGCAGAGTACAACCACACAGAGTGACAACATACACTGAAAATTTTTACATTGGTGATATCCTGGAGATCTATAAAAAATTCAAATTCAGTATTTGTGCCACCTAGTTGATATTTAGTTTCCTATAGACTTAAAGTGAGAATTTCTCCCTTTTTGCAGCTTCTTGTTCTCACTGAGATATTCTGAAGGGATTTATCCATTTTTAACCACATTTGACAGAGAGCTATTAACAGTTTAAGATATGACCTTATAGAAAAAAAAAAGACCCTATTACTGCCACTGTTGAAGAGAAAGGCTGGCAAGCTCCTTCTTTGGTAGACCTCAGGGCATCCACACTGGGCAGGAATGAGTAGAGGCACTGCAAATGAGAGTCATTAGTACTGGTGCTCCCAGAACTGCTTGTTCCATCTCAAGATCTTGTGTCTTTTATGGAGAGTTGCTTCCCTCCCACTAAATCCACAACACTCATAGCGTTTGCCAAGAAAAAGTCATGCCTTCCTGTCCTGACCGTTCCTGTACGCTGCAGGGTGAAAGATGTTATTAAGGGTCTGGATAATACTGTGAGTGAGGCATTCTGTGCAGCATCTGTGCTACAAGATGATGAAGATCTTTTGTCTCCCTGCGGGATGCTCCTCAGGAGGGGTGCAGCAAGATGCCAGTTCAGTAGCTGTCCCTCCTCCTTGTGCTAAATCTCCCAAAGCCTCTCCTTTAGGTTTGCTGTGAACAAGCAGGATTTCCAGCCAGCCGTCTGTCTGATTTACACCCATGTAAATCAGGGCTGACTCGAGTCACTGCTATCCTGTAGCTGTCCTGGTGTGTTACAGACCTGCTGTGCTGCACCTGTGCTGACAGCAGCATGCAGGGCAGCAGGGTGCAGACACCCCTGAGCCAGAAAAGTGTGGGCTGGTAAAGCTTGCTGGTGCAAAGCTGCACATCGCGGCTCAGCCTGCATTTGCTTGGAACCAGGCCCAAGCTAATAAACCCAACTAGATTGCTTCCAGACCCGAGCTGGCCCAGGAGGAGCCAGCGCAAATGTCACAGTGCTGTGGTGCTTGCTCTGAGCTAGTTTAATTGTCTCTGCTGGCACGGGCCAGCTCCTGCACCTGTAGGGCAGGAAGGGAGTGATGCATGGCCACTTTTTACAGAAGCACTGAGTGCACCTGGAACTGCGTCATCGGGGAGATGTCTTGGCCAGGTTGTACCCACCTCTGACCCATCTCATGCTTCCCGGGCCCAGTCCCTTGGCAAGGCTTTGCTCTCTCCCGCTGCTTCTCCATGACACGCTGCAGCGGCTGTGGCTTTCGCACACGAGCTGTTTATAGGGCGCTGCCGGCGGCTCCGCGGCGGGGAGGCTCGTGGTGGTGCCCACGCGGTTGTGTGCCCGGGGCCGGGGCCGCCGGACCCGTGAGCAGGGTGTCTGGGGTCAGCAACCCCACACCCGTGGGCAGAGGGGAAAGGACCAGGCCTATGGCAGCAGGGCAGCGGGAAGGGAAATCACGGACCTCTCGGGAGGCAAGTGTACGAGCACAGGGAGCTCTCCCCGCCGGGGCGGGCACTGGGAAGGTGCGGGGCCCGGTGCGCAGGGAGCGCTCACCCTCTGCCACCGCCCGGGCCAAGCACGGTGTGCCCGCGCACCCCCTTCCCTGCTCCGTGAGGGGCGGCCGGGCCGGGCCCCCGGGCGGACCCCGCTGTCAAAGCCCCGAGGGGCGGCCCCGGCGGCACAGCCCTCCCCCTGCCCGCCCCGGCTGGCCCCGCCGCCGCGCCAGGGTAATGGCCCGGGCCGCCTGCGCTCTGGCAGCCGGCCCTGCGGCGGGGGAGCGGGGCTGAGCCCATGCGCCCGGCGCGGCGGCGGAACCCGGCGGGCAGCGCGTCCCCCCGGGCGGCCCCTCCCAGGTAGGAGCGCGGGGGCGCGGCTGTCACCGCGCCCGCCCGGGCTCTCCCCCTCCCTCCCTGCGGGGCCGGTGACCCGGGGGCCGCGGCGAGCCCGGCGGTGGCGAACCCGCCCTGCCGCCGCCGCCGCGTCCGCCGTTGCCGGGGCGGCCGCTGTTCGGATGCCTCAGCTGAAAGGCATCGGCCTCCGCACAGCCCGCCCGTGTGCCGGACCCCCTCCCCGCCCCTCTGGCCGCGCTCGCCTTCCCGGGAGCGGCTCCGACCAGCCCGGCGGTGTTGCCTAGAGAGGGAGCGAAGCCGACGCGCGGCGCCGGCCGCCCCGTCCCTCACAGACGAGCCGCCGCCGGGGTCCGAGCGCGCCGGGTCTTCACCGTCCGGCCGGTGTGCGTGAGAGAGAGAGCGGGCGGGGGGCTGAGGCGGGCGGGCTGCGGGGCTGAGGGCTGCGGGGTGCGGGCTGAGCCTGTCGCCGCACGGGCGGCGGTTACCGGCCGTTGGCGGCGCGGGGCTGAGGCGGGAGGCGGCGAGGGGTGAGGGCTGAGGGCTGGGGCAGCCCGCGCTGACAGCCCGTGTGCCGCTCGGTGCAGGACAGCGGCGCGGGGCCCGGCAGCCCGCGGACATGCACTGTGAGCTCGCCGCGGGGCAGAAAGGCAGCAGCGCCCGCTTCGAGCTGACCGACAAATGCCAGGGAGCGCCCCAGAAGGATCTGCCGCGGGCGACTCGTCCCAGCGCTGCTAAATCCCACTTGAGTCCTCAGATGTCCTTTAAAGTATCTGTCAGCAACGGCGGTGACCACGCAGAGCCTCAGCAGAGCCCCCCTGAAATGTCAGCACCTCTGCTAGATTTCATCCCCAAGCGACCCAGCATATTCGAGAGGATCCCGATTCTGCCGAGGGCGCAGGAGCTGCGATGCGCTAGAGGCTCTAAAGATTATTTCCAGCAGCAGAAACATCAGAGCGTGAAGGGTGAGTTTAAAAATACGTGAACTGAACACTACCACCACCAAAAAACTATTCCCCAAACAAATAAAACGCGTAACAAGCTCCCCCCTTCTTTTTGGTCTTCAGGGTGTTTTCTAACTTGTTAATTTCACTTCAGGCTTTGAAAGTTTTGGTTTTCTGTGCACCTTGGAGGCTCAGGATAAACCAGAGTGTTCTTTGATAGTGTGAAGCTGATTGTTTCTCAATATTCTTTAAGAAATCTCGAGACAAGCATCTTTTGTAGTTCTCCTGAGCGGGTGCTGCTGGTTCGGTCGCGTCTCAAAGGTGGTTGTTTTGGGGATGGTGCTGAAGACTGGGCTGGTCTGTCCTGTGCCAGAGTGTGAGTGTGGGGTGTTTGTTTGTGAGCACGCCTGGCTGACAATAAATGCCTGGTTCTTATTCAGCAGTTTCACCACGGTTGCTTGGATTTATAGTTTGTATTTCAAGGAGGTGTTACAAATGCTGGATTCAGGCAGTGAATCCTCAGACTTGTGAATTCCCGGTGCCTGAAAGGTCAAATTCTGCTACTTAACAAATGCCTGATTTTTCATTTATTCATTGCTAAGCGGCACTGAAGTTAGGTTAGGAATTGCCCACTAAAAATCTATTAATTACCTTTTTGAGCTAGAACTTGTTAATTGAGCTGGAATTTGTTAATCAAAATCTAGTTTTGAAATAATCACTTTGAAGTATCACTGGCTGGGATCAGAGGGAATTGAAGCATTCCTCTATGCTACAAAGCCACTTGCAGAGACGTGTGTGCACCTAAGATTATTAGCATTAAAGCAATGATTTCTGTAATGTTAAAAGGTAATTCTCTTTTTTAATTCTCAGTTCATTCCCATTCTCTATTTTAGATATGTACATGCAGTTATCTTAAGACAGTTCCCACTGGGATTTTTTCAGTGCATCCCGTTCTGTCCATTCTTCTGAAAACTAAAAGTAGGCTGCCTGCCCTTGGACTAGTGACGTTTTCTTTTGTGAGCTTGTTACCTAGGGTGATGGCACCTTTCATTGCCATGAAGTTATGTTAATGAACACCTCAATCTGTGCTAGGTCTGTCCTGCAGACTGTAGGATATGTTTGTTCATCACCAGTGAATACAGACAGAGTGTAGCAGCAGGTTATAAATTACCTTTTTTATTTTTCTGTTTGTTAATGCTGCAATTCTTCTCTCCTGATGGAAAAAAAAAAGACGTTGTTAATGTTTGGCAGGAATGAAATGAAGGTCTGTTACACAAACCCAGGTTTGGAGAGGGGAGAAGGAGGATTCACAGGGTATGAAGGAGAGCTACAAGCTCTAGTACTGCTGTGCTGCTGCCACTGCTGCCTGTGGAAGGGACTTACGCGGTGTTCGAGTCCCTCGTGGTGCCACGAGTGAGGTTGGTGCCACTTGACAGGGTTCATACCAGCTTAAAATCCTGCCTGTGCGTTGCCCTGAACGAGCAAACTGTTGAAGCACTTTTTTTTTTCTTCTTTCTTTTTCCCTTTGAGCTACTTAGCCCTCTTTTCATGCATATTCCTCTTGCTGTTGCAGAGGGCAAGAGCATAGAGAGGGAAAGAGGAAAAGTGTAATTTCCATACGCTTGGGGCTCTTACAGTAGATGTAGGTGGGCATGGGAGAAGGTTGCTAATTCATCTTTCCCGACTGATCAGTTTCTCATTTTCGCCACTGGGGGAAAGAAAAAAAAGTGTTTCAAGTTTTGTTGCTGTTTTTGTTTAGTGTGTTTTCTGTCCAGGGTGTTACCTTGTGGTTGCTTCAGCATATGGGTGACTTGAGTCATGGGAGTAAGTAGGAGGTATCCATGAGCAGGATAGGGTTCATCTACTGAGCAGCAGGGTGATTTGATGGGTAATGTTGGATTTTTCCAAAGACAGGCAATACTAAGTTTTTTGGGTGGGGGTTTTTTGTTTGGTTGTTTTTTTGTGTTTGTTTGTTTTGTTTATTTAGTTTTTGCCCCCCCCCTCCCCTCAAGAAGACATTGTCAGGAGGAGTTAGGAAAATTAAAAAGTAACATTTTGGGCCAGATAATTTAAAATATGTGGGCTGTGCTGCTCCTTTTGACCTATATGGTGTTGGCACGTGCTTTAATGTCCACTTGGGCATTTTGGAGTTCTCCTGCTGAACACTGCAAGCTGCCAGCCCCTGCTCTGCACTCTGTGCTTCTGAGTCAGTTCCACAGAAATAATAGAAATCATTTCATTACTCACTGTGATCTAACTGAAAAATCAGAGTGTATGTGCAGAAGAGCATCTTTCAAGGAGCAGTGTAAACCATCTCCCAAGAAACCTGGTTCTCTCAGGAAGATAAAGGACTGGGGACAGCTGCATGTGGATGTGATATAACAGGCTAGAGCTAAGAAGTGGGAATGAGGGAAATACTCAGATTTACCCAGTGAAGGGTTTTGGGTAGGAAACTGATGACAGCTTGATTTCAGACCATCGCGCCGTGCGTCTCGTGTTCTCCAGCCCCAGAGTACCATGTACCCAGCAATTCCCTCTGCAATCTGGGTTAGATTACAGAATGTGCCTCCTGGTTTTGGTTTATCCACAGTTGAAAATTGCAAGTAGGGCAGGTAAAAGACACTCTTTAACAAGAGCAAACCCGCTTTTTATAGTTGCCTGTAAAATTTTTTTTTCTAAACAAGCCTTACTTTTTAATTTTTTTTTTCAAAAAAGAATGAATCAAAATGATACACTGCCCCACTAATAAAAAGGGCAGCTTTGAAGTAATCACAATGGGGAAGAAGCATCCTGCTGTTGTAATGTCTCTTGTGGTGTTACTCCACTGCTTCACAGTGTTTAAGTTATGATCCTGCAAAATGCTTCCGTGCCTGAGCAAGTCCTTTTACATGAACAGCCAAACAAGAACTTGAGGGGTGGTGGTGAGGATTACTTCTGGGAATTAGATCATTTGGGTTTAAAGTTTGCAGGATGGAGCTGTTGATTGTTCACCAGAAACATTAGTATTTTGGAACTGTGCTTCATGCTTTGTTCTGTCTGGGAGCTGTTTAAAATAAACACCCAGTTTTCACCCATCCTACCCCTTGTGGTGTGACGGGCTGTGATACGTGCCACGCTTCTCTTGGTCATCGATTTACAGGGCAGAGTATTTGCACACAGCCACTGCTTTTTAGAGGCATTTGTGATCTGCTGGGCATAGAACAACTGTACCATAAGGTATGAAGTCCATTTTACAATGTTTTCCTGAGATTCTGTGGTTTTGGTTCTGTTTTGCTGAATTTCATGCTACAGTATGACCGTTTTGAAAGTAACACAGGGCAAAATAATTATTGTCTCTAGGAAAGCAGCTTTGGGGAAAGGAAACTTTAGTAGTGACAAAAGAGTAATCTATAAAGATGTCAAATATCTCAGTTTTTAAATGGCATTGATTATGGTTGTTACCAGGAAACACTTCTCTTTTTCATTCTTTTTCAGTTTTGTTCAGTGTACCTAATTCATGACTCAGTAGAAATGACGAGATTTATCCTGTTAGCTGTGCCACTGGGAAATCATCCAAATGGCCTGGACCTTTGCAGTAACCACTTCAGATATTAACTTACAGTGGGCAAAACAATAAGCTCTTCGGGTTGCAGTAGTTGGATATTTCCTTGTTGAGAGTATTTTTTATTCAGACAAGGGGAAAACGGGTTGGATTTTTTTTGTGTTTGTTGTTAACTGTAGCTGCTTTCAGCAAACATACGACCAACGTATTGAAATGTATTAATTTCCTTCTGCTGTTGAGAAGGAAGGTTAAATCTTGCCATTTAAACCCCCTGTGACCATTTCCTTGACTATCGGGACAGTCCTTGTGAAAGTAACAGCTTATGCTGTTGGGAGCTTAAGCAAAAGCATGTGCTTTGCTTGTGTGACTTATTAGGTGTATTGAGTGGTCTTGGGCCTGATCCTGCCACTTTCTCTCAGACACCTTGTCTGTGTTCACCTGAATTATCCCACTGGAGCAAGTGGGACTGCCTAGAGCTGATAAATACAATATGAACTGATAAGGAAGACACGGAATGGGCTCACTGGTATGGTGATCTCTAAACTCTCTCAATTTTTTTATAGAGCTGTGGTAGTAAATTTTTCTTATTTTCGCTCTAGTTCTCTTGCTTGCTGCATTTGAACTCTCTGCTACAAAAAGGAATTTAAAGGTTTATTTGAGCAGAACATGCAGTTACAGAGCTACATTTTTATTGCATGGTCTTTTTTTTTGCTTAATTCTATTTTGTAAGAGCAGAAAAGAGAAGAAACTGCAAATTGGAGAATGTGTGCATCAAGTAATTTGGAATAAATTGTAGCTGTCTTCTCCCTTAAACTGGCTATAATGCTTACTTGTCTTGAATAGGAAAATAACTTCCAGTTACTTGCTGCTGAAGGAATTTCTTCTAATGATTTGTGTTGCAAAATCAGAGTCACTGAATTGAAGATGAGCCTTTCATGGATTTAATTTAAAAGAGGTTTAATTGTATCTAATAATTAAATCCATTGTAATTTAGGAATTCGTAGTAGAGAATATTTAGTAAATACAAATCAGGAGATCTAATGATCAGCCTGTCATATAAAGGCATTCAGTACTTGTAAAATAAAAGCAAAAAATCCTCTTTCTGCTTCATGAGAAAACAACAGCTGTTGGAAAAAACTGAAGAGAAAAAATAATGTATCTATCTTAACATTGTGATATTGTGCAGACTTATATGGAATAACAGATAATGTCAGATAAATCTAATAATTGGGAGAGATTTTGTAATATGAATTTTGCTTGAAGAAATAGAGTAAAAAATAAGAAATTACTTGTTCTGTCTTTAAAATATTTCATTAATAGAGGTTGTTATATACTGGGCTAAGTGGGGTGAGAAAAAATATTCTTTATTCTTTTATAGTAAGGAAAAGTTGAAAAATCTACATCTGGGAAGTTCTGAAGTCTGTACATTACTGTATTCCTGTCAGCAGTCTCATCAACTGCAAATACTTCAGACTTAGAG